AATCATTGAAAACACATAATAAAAATAAAAATAAAAAGATCAAATAACCTTACCTCTTTAAGTTTTGATCAAAATTACATAAAAATCTGTTAGTTTTCGAAATGAACACTCCATCTTAAGAGTATAAACATTGTTAACAAAAATTATGAAAAGATTAAAATGTTATTTTTTTATTAATTTAAAAAATTATTATTATATTTTAAAAAATAAAAAAATAGAGAGCAGTGATCAATGCTCCCTGACTCACCAAAAAAAGGGTGTGAGGGGAGCACTGATGCTCCTTGAGGGAGCTTTGATCGGGCTTCTCAGGGGAGCACCGATGCTCCCTTAAGGAGTCTTGATGGGAGCTTCGACACTCCTCAAATGGGAAGCTTTTTTAATTAATAAAAAAACAATTCAATTATATGATAAAAATTATAAAAATTAATTAAGGATAAAATTGTTTTCTTACTTTTACCACATCAGCAAGTTGACTAACACATGCTCAGTGGAGAATATTTTTGTGATATGGAGTATTTATTTTGAAAATTAATAAATTTTTGTATAATTTCGATCAAAATTTAAAAAGTTAAGAGTATTACATCTAAAAGAAAAATATGATAAGTAAAAGATAAAACTACGTAACAAAAAAAGAGAATATAGTTGATGATTCATAGAATTTTGATGAAAAAAATCTATAAAAACTTAAAATATATGATCAAATATAATAGAATTGAAACAAATAAATAAATATAAATAGAAAAAAAGATAAAAAAAATTTACCTTTTTGTAATTTCATGATAAAAATGACAAAAGAGAAGAGAAAGATAAAAAAAAAGATATGGAAAGAGGTGTGAAAAAATTTAAAAGGAAAAAATTTAAGAGTTAAGGTAAAATTAAATGAATTTATAAGATCATTTTATTACTTTTTATTTATATTAAAAATTTAATAAAAACTTATTTTAAAGAGTTCATTAAAAAATATATATGTAATATATTATATTAATAATTTAATAGAAAATTATTTTGTAGCTCATTAAAAAATATATAATATACAAAAAATTTTAAAACTTATGAGGGCCCATTGACAAGGGACGCTCAGCCCCCGAGACAAAAGTCCAGTTGAGTGGATTGTTAGCTTGTTTGGGCTACTAACCTGTGAATTATTGTTCTGTCCCTACTTAGATTGTTGGCTTGCTTTGGTGCTAACATGCCTATAAAATGATAAATAAAATATTGAGTAATAATAATTAATTATTAATTATAAAAAATTATTTAATTTAAAATAAAAATTAAAAAATTTAATTAAATGTAATAAAAGAATAAATACTTATTTAAATATTTTTTATTAACTCATAAACTTTTTGAAGTATTATACTTTTTAATTTTAAATATATTAGTGATTAAAATATAAAAACTACTTTCTAAAATCCATGAATGAAGAAGTTGTCAAATATTTTTTATATAAAAATTTAGTTCAACAAAATATTTAAAAAGTACCAAAAGTCAAAATTATAAAAGTTTGATTGCCAAAAGTCATACTCATAAATTATTAATGGGAACTATAAAAAAAATTGAAAACATTAATTGTTAAATTTTTATCTTCAACTAATCATATCTTATCTATTAAAAAAAACTATGAAAGACAGTACACCACGTCCGCTTGTATCCTTCTAACTTAATTAAAGTTAAATCATCCCTAATTCCTATGACACAAGGATTAAGGATTGATTTGGCTTTAAATGAATAGCTATTGTATAAGTCATTAACTTTCTATTATAATTAATAGAGTTCTTAAACAATTTCTTTATAATCAATTAAACTTTTTATTTGGATATAAATTTTAAACATAATATCTAAAAAAATCCTTGAATTATGCAGAAAATATCAAATAAGCACTTATTCTTTTAATTTGTTCAATTAAGCTCTTATTCTTTTATTTTGAGTCAAATAGATTCTTAGTACTAACAGATGATTAATTATTATTAGTTAAAATATCATATGTCATTTTATGTCATGTTGACATATTATAATAGATGATGATGTGCTATAATGATATGATTACGTGACATTTTTACCTTTTATATGAACATTGTGTGATTATAAAAATGATAAATAATATTTCAACTAATGACAATTAATTGACTATTAATCATAACAACTTATTTAAACCAAATAAAAGTTCAAAAACTTGATTAAACACAATAAAAAACAAAAACTCGTATGAATTTTCCTAAATGGTTCAAAGACTTTTCAAAGCATTATGCATAAATTTTAACACTGACCATTAGGATAGAATTGCCATGTGAAATAAATGTCATAGAATAAATATGACATCGTGACATTTCATATCATTTTCACATTGTAAATCTATCTCGATTGACAACAAAGAACTAATAGTGTTAAAATTTTCGTTATATAAAGGCTTAGTTGATAATAAATAATTGATTAAGGAATCAATTGATTGGAATAAAAAAGATAAACTCATATGATAAATCTAATTAAATATAAGGGGTTATTCTATATTTTAACATTAATTTGAATTAAGTATTGTTGCCTTGTAATTATCGCAACAAATATTTCACCATAATCATGATTAACTTAATCAAAGGTAGAGCTAGCCAACTTTTGTTGGAAAGATCAAAGACGAAAAAAGTTTCAGGGTTAAAAATTTTTAAAATTAAGAAATTGAACTCGAGGAATAATAAAAAAAATTTAATAGATAATAATTTTATATAACAAGTAAATCAAAAGAAATAAGAAAAGAAAGACTTGCAATAGTTTTATAAAAATTGGGCTTTACATGAAAAACATCCATTTTTTCAAGATTGAGCTTAAGATGTTTTAATTCATATTGCTCTTGTTCATGATTTGAAGTATTGAGGCTTAATGGCTTCAATGTAGGAGAATTATTTGAATGATTTGTATATTTTATTTTAAAGAATTTATCAATTATTTTCAACTTACTTATACTTTAATAAAACCTGAATTTTTTTTTTCAAAAGTGTTTTTATTAAACTTCTTATTGATCAAAGACTTCTAAACTAGATACGGAAGTGAAAATTTATACAATTACACAGAAAAAATCACTTGAAAAACTTGATGGCGGCTCAAAGAGAACTAAAACGCCCAACAACAAAAAGAATAGCAGCACATGAGACCACTAACATAAAAAACCTAAAACCATATCCTAATCAATGTGTAGCCAACATATAATATTCTTATTTTATTTTTATTTAAATTTAAAGCACTAAATATAAAATTATAATGTATAAAATATAATAATTAAATACGATATACATGATTTTATAAAAAAAATTAAATGCATTAATAGTTAAATAATATAAATAGAAAGAAGAAGATAAAAAAATTTACCTTTTAATTTCACACAATGGTGATGAGTGGTTCTTATCATTCCTTATTTAAACTTAGAAACTCATAAATCTCTTTTAAAGAATGAAGTGTGCTTTAATAGTGGGTTATAGAGAAAAAAATTAAATTAAAAATAAAAAAAACAAAAGAGAAAAGAAAGAGAGAGAAAGATGTGTGAAGAAACTTAAATTAAGATAAAGTTAGTAGGGTGTATCATATCATTTATTATTTATTATTTATATTAATATCAAATAAAAAGTTTATTTTGAGGAAGTCATTAAAAATTATATAATAAATAAAAAATTTCTTAAATTTTGGAAGGTATTATTTAAAAAATATAATAAATAAAAAATTCTAAAAATTTGGAAAGAGCCATTAAAATATAATATATATAAAATAAATATTTTAAAAAATTCAAGCCCAACTCCACCCCCCACCCAAATAATTGCATTTCCTTCCGCCCTTGAGCTCAATGATAATTAGGAATGTACCAATATTAATTATTATATGCATAATGATAAAATACACTCTTGAATTATATCAAAATTTTGCATTCTCTCGAAATTTGTCGCATGTAATCCTTTTCATATATACCTTGAGCCATTTCATTATTTCTATATTTTGTTGGCAATTTTTATCCAAAGTGAATTTAGATTGGAAAAGAATACTAATGCAAAATTTAATTAACTCAAATTTTAATATAGTTCAAGAATTTATTTTAAGTTTACATTTGATATATTGTGAAAAATATTTATACATAATCACAAAATGTCACTTCATAAATATGTACAAGTAAAAGTTTAAAAGTCTTTTAAAATAACTATTTTTAAAATTATATTTATTTATTGTTGAAAATATTAAATTTTTAAATTGATTTATTAGAAATATGATAGCATATAAAATTTATATAATAACAATGTATGAAATAGAAATATATATTATTATAGTTTCTGTTAAAATAATCTCTTCCTAAAATTAATTCAATTAATTCGTTTATATATATTTCGTTGATGAAATTCTAGTTACCAAATTCAGTCAATCCATTGCACAGAATTTTCATAATCTCCACTAAAATTAGGAGAAAATGAAAATTAAGAAAAATTAAAAATGAACATTACAAGCAAATATAAATCAACAAATGAATTTGGGGCAGAAATCAATCTTAAATTAAATTACATACAATCATCACCTCCCTAAAATATAAACAGAAAAATAAATAAAAATAAAATAAAAGAGCAAACTATGTTCATATTTTTATCTGTCAAATGTAGAAAAAGATTTCAAAAGGAAAGATTTAATACACTCAATTTCCACTAAAAAAATCTTTACAAAATTTTGCCTCATCCGCATCTCCTACAAGAAAAAGCCATCAATACCACAAGAACATCCGAGTTACACTGAGCCAGCTCCTCCGATCCCATCAAAGCTCAGTTTAAAAAGCCCTAACACCTTCACAAATCATCGGCTTTAGACATAACAGAAAGCCGACTGGGCCTCGGCTCAAAAGCGGCTCGGCGCCGTTGCTGATGCGAAGAAGGCCTAATGAGAGCCGTTAAGGCCCTCTTAACCAACTCTCCTTCCACTCCTCCGATTCTCACCAACGAATTCTTCATCGCCGATCTCCTGAAATGCAATGCACTGCTCGAGTGAAATGACGATGCCGTCGGTTGACGACTATTCTGATGATGATGATGATCTCTTGACAACGACAATCCTTTGTGGAGGGAGCACCGGAAAGAGCCTGGGTGCGTCGTAGGGGAACACAAACAAGTGCGACTCCTCTGATGGTGGACCCCGGTGGACACAGCATTGTTGTTCTTGTTGAAGGAGATCGAACGTCCGGGAGATATCGGGCGATCGTTGATGGAGAATCGGACGGACGGTGATGACTGCGGAGAAGAGCTTCGTCCGTACAGATTCACACGTGTGGGAGAAGTCGCACGTGCGAAGAAGGTGGAGGATCTTGAAGCGAAGCTTGAGCTTGAAGAGGCGAACGCGGAAGAAGAGGATGACGAAGAATGGTGGGAATAAATCGACGGCGATGGATGATGATACGTGGAGAGCAGTGAACCGTGCGATTTACTTCTCGATGTCGTTAATGACATTTTCTAAATTTTTTTTTTTTTTTTAAGCGGTGATTTTTGGAGTGAGTTTGGCAAACCTAGAGAGGGGCGAGAAGAGGTATATAAAGGAAGAGTGGGCGAATCGTAATTAATGGTGGACTTTAGGGGTGGGTTTATATCGTTGCTATTTAGAGTGGCCGTTGGGAAAGGGTTGTGGACCGGACGTGGGTTAGGGTTTCGCTTTCAAAGCTCTTGACGGAATGCTTCATGGGGTAAGTGAAGCTTTTTGGGTTCACGTGCTTTAAGGAGAGTGCTGAACACAGGCGTCTAGAGTTTTCACTTCTTAAAAAGTTATTTTTTATATATAAAATTGATATATTTGGACTTTTGATTTATTGATTAAACCTTTGAATAAGTTAATGTTACAAAAATTTTCACATATAAAAACATTAAAACTGAATTCATTTTGATCAAGAATTAAATATTTAAGAGAATTCTTCAATAAAAAGTGGATATTTGAGAATTTCCCTTTCAAGAAATGGATTGTGTGGGGCACGCGCTTCAAGTTTGCAGACGTTTGATAATTTTGGTGAAATTTGAGAGGCGCCTTAGCTGTCGCCATTTGTTGAGAGCTGTTGAGAGACTGCCATGTATACAATTTAGTGCAACTGAAAATTCTTAATTTAGGTAGCCTGTCAAAATCTAGTTTAACTTAGGGTCAATGGGTGGGTTGATTAGTTTAGTACATCATATTTTAGGACAAAACAGATCAATTGTTTTTAAAAAATAATTAAATATAATAAAAAAATAAATCGATCAAATGCAGAATTGATTTAGTTGATCTGATTTTGAACTAATGCATCAAAATTTTATCTTTTTTTATAAATTATAATATTAAAATTTATAAACTTTATTTATAATTATATATATATGAAATTAATGATATAACTTATTTATTATAATGTTTTATATCAAAATTTATATAAATAATAACTAATTATAAATAATATGTTATAAAATCTAAAGTGATAGTTAATAAACTTGTTAAGTGTAATAATATAAATAAAGTTTATTATAAGTTATAGTAATACTTATGTATAAATTAAATATATATAATATTTTATTATATATATAAATTAATTATGTAAATTATATGTTAAAATGTTTTATATCAAAGTTTGTATAAATAACAACTAATTATAAACAATATGTTATAAAATCTAAGATGATAATTAATAAAGTTATTAAATGTAATCATATAAATAAAATTTATTATAAGTTATAGTAATACTTATGTATAAATGAAATATATGTGTATATAATATATGACTTTATTTAATATAGATATAAAATTAATAACATAAGTTTTGTGTTATAATGTTTTATATCAGTTTGTATAAATAATAACTAATTATAAATAATATATTATAAAATCTAAGGTGATAACTAATAAAGTTATTAAGTGTGATCATATAAATAAAATTTATTATAAATTATAGTAATGTTTATGTATAAATTAAATATATGTATATATAATATATTTATAAAATTATATATATATTTATAACATTTTATATTATGAAACATTACTAAAGTGTAATAATTATAATATATTAATATATAAGATATTACTATCATATATTATAATATTACCATATAAGTTATATCATTTAAAATATATAACTTATAATTTCATATTAATACAAATTTATAAATAAATATATATATAACTAATATTAAATTGCTATGATTATGATTTATATATGTACATATAATACCCTAATATATTTAAGTAAATTATTGATTAAGTTTATTATCAATTCTTCTTGATATATATAAAAAAATTATATATATTAATATATATATATATATATATTAAAAACTACTTTGGTTTTTTGGGTGGATTGGTCCAAAAATTTTAAAATTGAGAATTGACCAAAAACACCAATTGGACCAAACATTTTGGACCAATTAATCTAATAAACAAATTAGATCGAACTGTTTTACGCAAATTGCATTTGGTTTGGATGGATAATTGGTCTAAATTAGTTTTGCTCACCTTTACTTCAATCTTGTGTCCCTCTTTTTTGTTTTCTCCAAGGACCAAATTACCCTTGAATTTTTATCCAAAATTATATTTTTTCTAAAGAAAAAATGGATTTGATTTTTAATGGTATAAATTTTAAAATATTATCAAACTAAATTAAAAAGGTTTTCATAGTTTTAAACTTCAAATATATTTTTTGAAATAAGATTTGAACCAAATTAAATGAGTATAAGAAACCAAAATTTAATTCAAGAAGTACTAATATTGTAATTAACTTACATTATCTTACATTCCATATTTGATAGTCCTACTTCAAAGTAGACCCTTAATGAAAGGCAGTGCTTAATTTAATAAAAGAAATAATGGTTTCATTTCAAAGGATTTATCACAAAAAATAATTCAGATACTCTAACCATACTAATTAATAGTTTTTTTTTGAAAAGCTGAATATTATTAACATAATTGTTATAAGTCACAGAAAGAAAAAAAGTCTGCGATTTTATGAGTCTTAATTGATATCAAATGATAGAATAAATTTTATGAATATATGATAATAGTGATTAGTAGCTTACATTAAGGTTAACCTTACAATTGACAAGATTTCCATTTTTTAAGTGTGCTAGTGAGACATAGATTCAAAGGGCTTTCCATATAACTTTTTTTTTTTGTCTAATGGAGCTACAATGCCATAGATTTTATGTGAGAATAAGAGCCTGTATTAATCGGTTTTGATGAAATATATCAATTGTTTGATTCATTTGATTTAGTTTGTTCAGTTTCAATTTTAATTAGTGCATATGAGTATTTGACTTATTAGTTGGTGTATGATCTCTATATTTAAAAAGAAAAAATCAAAATCCCCTTTCTCCCATTATTCAAAAAATTATAATTTTAATTAGTGATTTGATTTGGTATATTCGATTATTTCGATTAATTTGTAGTTTTTAAAATTGACAATCAAATCAATGGAAATATCAATCATTAGTAATATATATATTTTAAATATTATATATATAATATAAATATATTTTATATTTAATATAATTAAATGTAATGTTATTAATATATATTATAAATATTAATGTTTTTTTAATTAACATTTAATATATAATATGAATTGCTAATAAAATAGTAAAATAAATCGAATCAATAAATCAATGATTATTTTATGAGAATTCAATTAATTCAATTTTTAAAATTTAAGATTGAAGTGATCAAATGTTCACTCTACTTGCTAATTTTGAGGTACATAAAACCCAATAAAATTTAACTATCCGAAATTGAAATGAAAAAAATTAATATTATAATAAAAATTAAGTTAATAAAATAAGTTCAGAATGGTAAATTTAATTAGAAGGGTTTTACAAAAGGTCAAAAAGTAAAAATGGGAAAGTGAAGTGAGGATAATTTAGTAAATATGCGTTGGTTTGGCATTTTAAGAGGGTCGCTTTCGTGGCCGTTGGGCAACTCGCAAAACGGCTACATATCCAAACCCGAAGATGCGTGACAGGCGGGTTTTGGATGGATCTTGGAACGTTTCTAACGTGACGGCGCATGACAAAATTCCCAATCAAATGCGCGGCACAAGTACAGGCACGTGGCGCCAAAGCTTTGGGAGAAAAATGGGCAAAGCGTGGGTGTCCGGTCGGTCAGCCTTTCTGCTTTGAGAGTGAAGATCCGGAGCGTTGTTTCTGTTTTTTAACTTACGTGCCGGCCTACACTACATGCTGAGCCTTGGTTGGCAACCCATGGTTTTGACAAGTGGCACAGCACTTGGCGAAAATACTCTTTCTATCTCATTTTGTTTATCTTTTATTGATTTTTTTAGATTAAAATAAGTTTATTTTTCATCATTATTTTTTAAATTAATATAAAATAAAATCTCAAAAACCATGTTTTGAAAAGTATGAAATTTAGACAAATTTTATTTTTAAAAAATTTGTAACCTCATAATTTTATTAAAAATAATAGTCAAAATCGAATCCATTTGATAAAAAGGAGCAAATAAAATGGGATGGAAGGAATATTAATTTAGAATAACTAGAGGTAAAGGATATATGCTTATGAATGGAAAGAGTAATACTATATGCATATATACACATATATGTTTGGATTGATGGAAGAAAAGATTTGTTTATAAAAATAAATGTATTATTGTGATGGATGGATGCTTGAATGTGGTTAATTGTTTATGGTATGTAAAGGATGATAATACACAAGTGTGTACATCTTACAGTATCTTCTTAGAGTACAGAGAAAAGGACTGAGCCATTCTTTGCATCCTAAGCATAAGGAATGAAATCATGGTGAAGGGAGGCCATGTCTATACATCGAGAACAAACATCAAGGAAGATGGAGGTGCATTGGCCTCACTTCCCTCTTTGATTGGACAACTAACCCAATGTGCAGTCTTTTCCAGACTTGTTTTTATCTGTCAGCTTAGGCTTTAATTCTCCAGTCTGAACACACCAAGCCTGTTTGCAACCTCTTGTATAAAACTTTGGAATCTGTTTCCAAGAGCCAATTTTATCCCTACAAACATAACTAATCTGTTTCCAGCAAAAGCTTCTTCTTCTTGGAGCTTAGTTCCTTGTCACAGTTAAGTATTCTGCCACAACCATTTGAATATGTGTTACTGTCATTCTCACACTAGGTTGGCTTTTTAGCAATTCTTGCCTCACATCTAACCTCCCAGATGTAAAGGCTGCAGACACAGAAAGTATGCTACTCACTTCATCAGATAGATCCTTAACGGTAAGCACCCTCTTAAGCCACTTATCCAGTACTGTAATCTCCCTAGAAGTTGGTTTGTTAGCTTAATCCTGTGCCAAAGCATATACCTCGAATGCATTCACATTGCAAAACTACATGTTCAATAGACCACTCTCCTTTTGTGGCAGAAGGGCATAAAGAAATTTCTACTTTTATGGGAGATTTGTAGATGCCAAATTAGCTTCCAAACAATATCACCTAACCTTGTTAAAGATATAGTTAATTTGTTAAACAGGAGATACACTTGTTATTCAATCAAATATTAGACCATCCAACTTCTTAATAACTTGCAGTGAAATCTAATCCATCACAAAGCTTGCAATTTAACATTATATGCACTTTTTGCTACCAATTTAACATTAAATGCATAATCCAATTTAACATCATTTGTGGTGGAATTACCAACTCCATTGTCAAAATTAACCACACCTTTAACTTTCTGCTAATTCTAATGTTCCAACACTAACTCACAATTTGCTGCACCTTCTTAACTTCTGGTTTTAATTCTCTAATACTATCAATCATTGCTGTACATAATAACATGATGCCATCAGAAAACTTAAGGTCAACTGCCACCTTACTCACAGAGTAAAAATGTGCAAAATCAATCAGTTGAGAAGGATTATGCATTACTAATTTATTAGCCAATGAAAACAAATCTTGAATTGATAATTATCATAATTAGAGTTTTGCATTTATCACAAAACTGAAAAATTTGTACACAGGACTCCCGTTTTACAACCCATTCAAAGAACTTACAGACTGATTTGGGGAAGCAGGGAAGCCATATAATCTGTTACAAACTTACATAACATAATGCAGCAGGGTTATAAACAGAATTGGATGGTAAACCTAATTGATGCCGCATGTGTTGACCCATACAAACAACAATAATTACCTTATGACAGAAATTATGAACCAACCTCGGGAGTTCTCAAGTTGACAACCATCACCCGAGGCTGCTTCCTTGAATGAATTTCGATTGCCAATATACACATCCAAAAACTGCTTATTCAGTCCTTTTGATAGCAGATTGGCAAATTCTTGTCATCAATCATCAGAAAAACTCCAGTTTATGCTTTTGATCGAGTCAGCAAAGATTGCTATGCAGCACTCAAGCAGTTCTCCCAAGTCCCATATTTTGAGCTAAAGCTGCCTCCACCACTCTGTTGCGCATGCTCAGAAATTACGGCTCGTGCACAAACATCCCAAGTCCTTGCTATCTCACCAAGTGACATAGGCTGTGAAAGGGTTCGCAGCGATATACTAAACCTCGACTTTGCTTTAACTGAAAGGTCTTCGTACTCCTTACTGTGAACCATAATATGAGATTAAAATTTATTTTCCATGCAAAAAAGGTAAAATATTAGACATTTAGATTCGAACCAACTTGCTCTTGACCAGGAACATGACCCTAAGCCAATGCAAATAACTGCTAACAAATTTTTCTCCTAGAACATTGAAAAACCTAAAATATATTTGAGGTGATATACAATTAACAATTACCATAGAAGTTGAAGTTGCTGCATCAATTAACCAGTCATCTTGACTCACTCAGCAATTTAATCAATGAACAGATTTAAGTAACATGAAGAAGAAAATGAACCTTTTCCCACAGTATCTGATGGAGGAAGGTAAGAAAATACTATGAAATCATAATAAAAATTCTCAAATAACAATAATAAAATACTCAAAGTTATCTAAAATACTGATCTCCAAAATAATCAAGATACCAATATCTCAATAATTCACAAATTGAAGCCTACTCAAAACTAAAATAAGATAGGTATTAATAACTAAATCGTAAACCCTAGTAGAAATGCAAAATGTCAAATATAATTTTTAAAACTTAAAACCCGAGTAGAAATGCAAAATATCAGGTATAAGCCTTAAGCCCTATAATTGGAAAACAAGTAAAATACTAATTAATATAAATATCCTAAATATATATAAAAGTTACAATTAAACCCATAAGATATAATAAAGAAACAAAACAAAGTCCTACATAATCTTCAACTAGATTCTTTCCAGCCAGTAACCTTTCATTTAAACATAAAAGATTATTGCTTTAAACTATTACTTTTGGAAATTGTATTTAAATAAAATACAGGAGAAAAGTGAATCAAACCATGATTCATAATAATTTGCTAAAAAAGAAATCAAACAGTTTCTAAACAGAATACCAGCCAATTTAAGAAAAGGGTGCCTTGAATTCGTATACAATGTTTCCTCACCTGACTTCAACAGGAAACTTGTCCAATAGTATTGGGGAACAATTTGGATAATTTGTTGGAACTAGTAAACGCAGGGGCTGAATTGGTGACTGCACAGCAACAAAGCATATAGATAATGAAGAGAAAAGCATAAACCTTCAGGTTAATACATCATTGTCTTTCCACAATCTGAAAGCTTACCATTTGGGCCGACATATACTGTGATTTCAAGTTTGAACTGAGAGCCACAGCACTGAAAGAGCACCTGACAATGGTTCCTTCACCCCCTTCAGCAGTTGCTGATGCTGCACTTGGGTCAACATCTTCATCACTGATATCGACCACTGTGTCTATAAGCCGTAGGTTTATTTCCCTTATTTCTTCCAAAAGGGCATGATTAGCCTGCAAAAGATCCCATCAAATTTTGTACATCTAATTACATACAGCAAACTGCACAGTGCTATCTTAGATAATACAAAATTATAAATAAGTTTTCTCATGTCAGCATCAGATGGCTTATATTTATTGCTAAGCAGAAATCGACATGTGAAAAACAAAATGCCAGGGATCTCTTTGACACAAGGCGACAGAGCATCAGAAAGTAAAATGGCAGTCAGAAAAATATGATGTCTATATGGTCGAAATTTAATGTACTTTGAATAATAACCAGATTATTGAAAGTGATTGAATTTCCAATCAGACATCAGATAGAGCTATAAGGTCAAACTGGAACTGGGAATTTAGTTTTCATATATTACACATGATTTAATAGAACCCAGAACTAATATTTTCATTACAGGCTTCCTGACTAGATTCTGAAGCTTATTTACTATGCTTTATGCTTATCAGGATTATAAGCATTCCGAGAAAGGAAGGATGCTTTTAATGGAAAACCTAGCCTGTAATCATGATGTAATACTAGCAGCGACTGATTACTACTAGCAGCAAATTTGGCACTGTTATTGAAACAAAATGGATGAATCAGAAGGGACAAAAAAAGCCTAAGAACCACGTGATTCAGAACACCAGATGAACAATGATGCCTATGTTGAAAAGATCCACAAAGTTTACTTCACCAATATTTATGTTGCATTTTATTTAAATGTTCATCACATGCTTAAATGTAACTAACTAAATACAACTATGACTCATGTTAAATCTTGAGTTCATATTCACAAATACATTAAAATCTTTAAGTTTTCTGAAATTAAATTTAAGATTGCAGTCATATTGATGTTTAATGGATTCTAATGCCGAAGGTAATTAAAAAAAAAAAACCAAGAAAAAACAAAAACACAAAATCAATGTGACAATATAAACAAAATAAAAAGTTTAGCTGTTCTAAGAGGAAAGTAGAACATAAGTTTGAAACATTCTGAAGATGGACGATGAACATTCAATTTGGCATAGAGACAATACATAATAGCTGAGCCATATACATGTGCTGGAAGAGGCTTATGAAAACATAGCTGACAATTTAAAAAAATGTACCATGAGCAAAGAAGGATACCTCAATTCTAGGCCTCTTGACACTAGATGTTGCAGTTGACTCCAAGTCAGATGTCTCTGAACCAGTTAATTGCTTGAAACTATCATTTAAGCTCCCTGCAGATGATACAACATTTAGGGGCATGGCACTAGTGTAACGCCTCATTCTCTTTGTCCCATTCATTCCATCTTGGGTGATGAAATTTCTTGCTTGCAGACGACACTTTGTCATGGCAACCAGATCCTCACCAACAGCAGCTCTAGATCCATTACCTGGTGCTGACCCTGCTATCCTGTCAGTCATGCTGACAACTGAGCCAATGTCACTTACAGATGCACCCAATGCTGTAGGTGACATGGATTCCACCTGAAATTGTAACTCATTAAAATCAGATAAATCCAATATCCTTTTAAAAGAAAAGAAGAAAGAACTTCTAAAGCTTTCTCACAAAAGGGAACAGAAGTAACCACAAAAGATAGGGAGTAAAGTGTCAAGAATTGAGCTTCACTAACCGCCTTCATTAAACGTTCAAGAGGCTGCTCTGTAACATTTGACCTGCTAGAAACAGTTGTCAAATTATTAGCATGAGTGCCATCTGCTCCAGTGAACTCTGCAAGGAGAGGTGAGGCTGATATCCCAGGAGTGCCAATTGCGAGGGATTGGGAGCCTGGTTGAACACCAGTTCCTTGTTGATGTCCAACATTTGCCACATTTGAGAGAGAAGAAGTGCCTGGAACAGGTTTCTCAGATTCCCCAAGCATAGGTGATGGGGCCAACGGAGTTGAAGGTGAAGGAACAACAAAAGGTGAGTTCGCAGATTGCAAAGGGGTTCCAGTTTTTGAGATCAATGTTAGCAGGCTTTGCTGATCAACCTGAGGGGAAGAATGCTGAGGCATCTGGGGAGATGCAGCCTGAATGAGCTGGGGTGAAGAAATAGGAAATTGAGAACCTGGTTTCAACTGCTGATGGGCATAAGGTTGGCGCTGGCCAGCTGGGAGATGTTGTTGAAAGACCCCCGGCTTAACACCCATCCCCTGTCTCATTTTCATATCATTTACATCATTCATCTGATGCAGCTGTGGCATCTGGTGTGTCTGCAACTGTGTGGGCAGCTGTTGCTTTGCTTGTTGGTGCAACTGCTGCTGCTGCTGTTGTTGTTGTTGCTGTTGTTGTTGCTGTTGCTGTTGCAGCAGCTGCTGCTTCTGGATATACTGCTGCTGCTGCATCTGGCGCTGTTGATACTGCTGTTTGAGCTGTTGTGACTGCAGCATTTGTTGTTCCTGCTTGTTTAGATGCTGGTGCTGAAGCATGTTGGAATTTGACTGAAGAGGATTCATGTTTTGCTGCAGAACACTTATACCACTTTGTGATGACAAACTGCTGATATTTGCTTGCTGGGAGGTACTCACAGGATTTTGTTGTATAGGTCCTGGAGCAACCTGCTGCATTGAGCCTATGGTGTTTCCTTGTCCAGAATCCAAATTGGAACCTGGCTGCAGTGAATTTAACATGGTCTGCTGGGCTGTTGAAACCACAGGTAAAGAAGACAAAGAATTGTGCTGCAAACTTGTCATATTGTTTGTCTGCATTGTTGGCACAGAACCTTGTATATTTATTGACTGCAACTGAGGGTTCATTTGATTATCATGAGTCTGTGTCTGATTAATTTGAGGTTGTGGCTGCTGCAAGGAATGCATATGAGGTGGAGGAAGCTGTCCTTGCTGCAGCGTTGAGGCAGGCTTCCTTGGCCTATTGGTGTTTATGAAATTTATTATCTGCTTCTCATACGAGGTCAACTTATCCTTGAAAGTGGGTAAGATATTTGCTTTGGAAACTGATAAGAAAGTTATAATGCGCTCCAACATGTTCTTGAATAATTTCAACTTCTCAAGCTGGTCTGACTTAGGCTGCTGTGGAAGAGAATCATGCTGGAAAATAGTACACATAAAATTGTATTAACAGACAACTAAACTTACAAACCACAATTACACCACGTAAGCGTAAATGGAACCACTAAACAGTGCCTACAGGAAGGAGATTCAAGTAGCAACCCAAAACCAGCATGTCATCAAAAAAAGCTTTCTAATGTGTAGTAGGAATTCCAATTCTCCAGTGTTGTCATCATGCATGCCTAGGCGCTAAGGCACTAAGGCACAGCACAAATCAAGCAAAGCGCCTTACACCCTTAAGGCAAGGGCCTTTAATCAGGCCCATGGATTTTGCGCCTAGGTGCATCTCTTTCAAGGCAAAAGGCGCAGGAAAAGTGAGCCTAAGTGTCCTTTCGTTTCTTTAGGCTCTAATTTGTTTTGTCAACTACTCTATAAATAGTCAAAAAAGGCCAGTTTTAGCTCTATTTCCAGGAAAAAAATTAAATATTATAATTGTAGCACAATTTTTTGTTATGGAGGTGAAGAAACTTGGAACTTTGTTTGATAACATTGGTTATGATAATTCTTGGTCTTTGGAACATATTAGGCAATGTATCGGAGTAATCTCTTCAACGTTTATTAACAAAACATATATTTTAAGCTTTTAAGACAAAACACAGAATTTTTTTTGTTCCGTATATAAAATTATCTTCCAGAAATTAGCGCCTTACTTCACTCAGGTAAGCACTTTTTTGCACCTTGCGTCTCAGGAAAGGGTCCTAGCGCCTCATGTGAGGTAAGTGTCCTAATGCCTTTAACAACATTGCTATTCTCTAAATTCTATTTAGACATACAAGGCAGCAGAGTACAGTGCAGATCGGTCCCACCACTCTTTGGAGGTTAGGGAATGAATATAGAAGATTATGTAAAAGGATAACCTACCTGCTGCAATTTGGCAGCGATTTTCTGATACATCTCATTTAATTCAGGCAAGTATGTCTCTTTCATGGTTTTGATCTGCAACATTAAATCAGGAAACAGAATGGTTAACCAACAATTGAATCACTCAATTTGTCCAAGTCTAATAATTAATGAGAAAAGTAAAAAAATCTTTTCATTTGCTGACAAGCTGAGACTGATTTTAGTTAATAAGTGAAGAAACAAATGCATCAATAAATGATGATTAATGTAGTTAAATCATGCAAGATATCATTGGTCTATTTGACAGTTTCTTGCTCACCAATATAATGGATCTTTAATTGACCGCTGAAGGATTTATATAAGCTTTATTTTCTTTCTTCTAAGAACAAGACAAAAGAATTCAAATTCTTATTAACAAACTAATAAGACATTCAAAAATGTTAGAATTTCTCTCATCAAATTTGGTTTTAAGTTCCTAATTCTTTTCTTTTATACTTCAGGAGAGAGAAGCATCCCAACATACTCTAATAATCGTCTCAAAACCACTTTCCTACACCTCAAAAACTTCTTGAAACCAAGTCGTTAGTGTAATATTATCTACAGGAGAATATGTGAAGATAGATTTTACCTTCTGATAGACCTCTTCCTGCCAATCACCACCATTTGCATGTCCTGTTTGAGCTGTGGAATCTAAAGACGCTGAAAAAGATATATAAAACAATGAACACATAAGAAAAATGGAAATTTCTGGAGGAAAAAGAGTAAGTAAGGACAACATAATTCAAATGAAATAAAATTGTTCCATACACATAAAGATACATGATTCTGTTGCATATACGTAACAGAACATTAAAATAGATCATTTATGGAGGAACTATATATCTTGAACAGAAAACAACCAACTTTCATAGCAAATTAAAGTAAAATCCAATATACATAGACAGAAGAGAGGACCAAACATAGCTAGATGGGAAGATCAAACAGGGACTGGAATGCAACCAGTGACCGGAATGCAACCAGTGACCTATGTCATAAAATTCCATCGGACCAACCATGGGTACAACTGAAATGAATTTGAAGAAACCATGCGTAAACATTTTCAACATGAACTTATGAAAAGATTTTATCCCTAGTTTCTGCAGCTAACCATGCATGTCCAAGTTTGAGGTTACTTGTTAAAAAGTATACTCCCTGCAAGACCCAATTTGAATGTCTCTTCCTTTTGGCATATTCCACGATGCATGTCTACTCTATAAAAGTAAGAAATTTGTCATTTTGGCTTTCCACTGTGATGAATAAAGAATAATTAGAGTTCAAACGTATTTTTAATTTTTCAAGGCAGCTTATATGATTTCTCAAATTAAGAGCTAATTAAACATTTTCCATCTACAACTAAGAACTTCAGTTGGAATAGGAGCAAATGATTGATAAATAAAGTAAACATGAGAAGGAAGACTTAGAAAAAGTTAACTCTTTGCAGCTATGGACCAGTTATTCATTGAAAGATAAATATGATAACAATAAAGGTAATTCAAACTAAAGCATTAAAACAATCTCCGGCACAATCTAGACTCAAGGAATACAGGGGGCATATGAAACCCTGGGGCATTAGGCATCATGTTTGGGAGCCAAACAGCCAGGCAGTTCCTATGATCAACTGATGCAAGCAAAGGGTGCAGCAATTTTGGAGGCACTGATTTGTTAGCTAAAGACTAAATTATAAATCTAACCAAGATGTGAGGTCTGAGAATTGTTTTTGACAGGATAGCATAGCATAAATTCAAGAAAATGTTCTCTTCAATCTCCCCAAGTTGGAAAGGAAGCTACTTTTGGAAGTAGTGAAAATGCAACACAAAACAATAGCATCAACTAAGAAAATGTTAGCGGGCGTATAAGCTAATAAAAAATTTTAGATGTTTCAAGGATGACGTGTGCTAGTATTAGAGGAAAAAATTGCACATATTAGCTAAATGACACAAGATCAGAAAGCAACAAAGCAAAGAACAAGGGTAGGTAACTGCATAGATCCAAAAACATACTTGATGATGTCTCTGGAACAGCTCTCTGCGATTGATACAACTGCTTTTGCTGATCTATCAGATTTTGTGATTGAAGCAAGGGACTTGATGCTTGACCTGATGCTTGAAGCCTCTGCTGCATATCTCTTGGTAATTGATTGGGCTGCTGTTGCAAACCCAACTGTTGCTGCAACTGAGTAGACTGAGATTGCAATTGTGACATCAATTGCTGCTGCTGCTGCTGCGGCGGCTGCTGGGATGTCTGTCCTTGAGTTGGTAACAAACTAGGTGCACTCTGCTGCGTTTGTTGGAGTGGAAACTTAGGCTGGGATAGCATGTGTAAAGTTTGCTGATTAGTTTGCATGCTTGAGTTACCCGACTGGGTTCCAATCAACTGCTGCTGTTGCTGTAATCCTGAAATATTACTCTGAGGACCCAACTGTTGCTGATGTATATTTGAGAGATTGTTTTGCGGAGCCATTAACTGCTGCTGCTGTTGCTGTTGCTGCAGGTTTGAAAGATTATTAGGCTGGCCTAGCAATCTCTGCTGCTGCATGTCCCCAATGTTGTTTTGTTGTCCACTTAACTGATTCTGCTGTATATTTGCAGCATTTGTCTGTTGTCCCATTACGTGTGGCTGCTGCTGCTGCTGCTGCTGGTGGTGCTGTGGAGGCTGCTGGTGCTGCTGAGGCATCATTGACTGCTGTGTCATTGGTGTTTGTTGTTGATGAATACCAGCACTGGCAGGCTGTTGTGGCTGTTGCTGCTGTCTAAGGACTGACTGTTGATGCTGCTGAAGCATGGACTGGGTTGACTGTTGCAGAGAAGATTGCTGATTCTGTTGAAGACCAGGAAGAGGAGTTGATTGCATTGCAGACGGCTGCATAACAGATGATGTTTGCATACCAGATTGCTGAGAAGATTGCAACTGAGTAAGCGATGTTTGGATATTTCCCTGTTGAAACTTTTGCTTCATAAGTTGATGTTGTAACTGCTGATGGTATAGCTGCTGCTGCTGCTGCTGTTGCTGTTGCTGTTGCGGATGCACCTGTTGCCTTCCTTGCATTTGCCTCTGCTGATTGGCAAAAATATTGGAAGGCATCCCTTGCCCCAGTGAATTCTGCGTAATTCCAGACATGTTCTGCATGTTGGAATTCTGGCCAACAACATTAGGTATAGGATTCTGGGTTAGACCAGAGACAGGAAGCATTCCAGATTGTAAACCAGCAGAACTTTGAACTCCAGCAGATGCCATGTTATTTGGAACATTTTGGGGCAACAGTTGTTGACGTGCTTGTGACTGATTACTTTGTAGTGGGATAGGAATTGATTGCCCTTGACCGTGAACTTGGTTCTGCATGGCCTGAGAACCTACCCAAGATTCTTATATTCAGAAAGGGAAGTAACAAACCCACAAGAACTAAATTGAAGAACATTTAGAGCAAGATAAACAACAAAAATACCAAAACAGTAACTAATTCATTTAAAAAGAGAGAACTAGACTTAAAACATGTGAGGCAACTGAACCATACCCTGAGGAAGAAAAAAATGATACAATTATTCCTAGCACATGCAGAGGTGTATACAATGCCAAAAGACTTCAATTATGGAAACAGCAAATGTGGCTCTCTTTGGGTGCTCATCGCATCTATCAAATTAAAAAACCTCCACCCCACCAAAACAAAACTTAACCCACCTGGTTAAAGTATTATTACTGCTACACTTGAATAAGGGGATAAAAGGGATAAAGTTCAGGGAATTTTCATTAGACTAGCCACTGAACATGTTGTAAGTTAAACAACTCTGCATGTAAAAGAACAGAAAGGACATCTAAATGGAAACTATCCTGCTCCTACAATACATCGAAGCAAAATGCCATTTCCTGCTATTACCTGGATCAGGAGGTTTGCCGTTATTCCTAGTGTTTGGTATAGTATTCTGAGACTTGTTCTCCATTGAAAGCATCTTCAAGGATATTCTCCTTAGATAATCAGGCTGAATATACAATCCATAACACCATTAGAATAAATAAGTTGTACTTTATTATTCCAATACAAGACAAGATTATCAAAAATGTTATATGGCCCATGCTTCATATTGAGTTAGCATTAAGCATTTTCCTTTTTCCATCTCTCCCTTCTCTCTTTCCTCCCTGGAAATCTTTCTCATGGATTTCCGATGTAATTGACAAGGTAAGGAGCCTTGGTCTATGCATGTCTATGCATATGAGAAGGAAAAAAAGGAAACACACACAATGCAAACAGACTAAATATTGGTAACAAGAAGCCACGTGCACAAAGTCATGAAATGCACAAATACTGATGCAAACACCATGCACCCAAATCACGTTACGGAATGCAGCATTGCGTGATTACCTGGCTGCTTGCTGCCGTAAAAATCTTTTCCTCAAACCTTACAGCAATTTTCCTGAGTTCATTTAAACCTTCTTGGCCAGAAAATGGAAGGTGCTTCTTCAATGTATCCATTCTACATATGCCAGGCATTTCACAAGTTAGTGACACACAAATATAAAAATTTTAAAAATAGCATGTAAGATCTTCAATTGGTAAATAAGTCAATGCTAAGAATGCAAGTTATGAGGTTAGTAACATATTTACATAACATCAAATGAAATTTAACCAAGATAAAAACTGAACACCAACAAATTTTCCCTTTAACTTGTTCAGGACTGTCTACATTTCAACACCCCGAAGCCACCACATTGGAATTTAATAAAAGTTCTCCCAATATAAACAAAGTGACCATCATGGCCTTCATATATCAGCTACATTCAAATAGACCACATACCGATATTTCCATTGTTCAGAGAGCATTGTGGAAGGCAAGGCCACTAGTCTAAGTTACAGCAATAAGTTATTTGATGATAGGGCATAATTCAGAGAGAGTAATAACAAAGAGACCCACCAATTCATATACAGTACCCCCCTGCCCTCACCCCCAAAAAAATCAAAATAAAGGGTAACAATTATTGACATTTCCTTTTCGTTATCCACTTCCCCGACACGCAAACCCTTAAAACACATAAAGAGGGAAACAAAACTGTAGAAGCCATTAGTGTTTCAACTTCCAAACATGGGAGACATTGCATTTGAGTTGTCTTTTCTGTTGGTTGTTTTGTGTGGGCAGGATCTACAAAAACATTATCACACTATCATAGTTGCAGTTCTCTTCCAAACCATAGCATGTACAAACACGCTATAGACATCAATGGACATTAGCCACATTTCTGTTGCTCAGGACACATCATAAAAAAACGCGACAGGGTATAACAGTCTGATTTATTACTTGTTGGCCTCTTTAGTCATAACATTAATTTTGGGTAGAAGATTGAGGGATTTCTAGCAGAAAACAGGAGGACATAAGCCATTTCAACTTCTGATTATTAAAGGCACTCAATTTTTTTTTTTTCGTTTGTGGAAGATTGGAATTACATCTCATGATAGTAATTTAAAAGTCAAAGCCACTTAGGACCTATTGCACCAAGGCACTGTGCACAAGCTTGAGCAAGTATAAAAATCACTCATCCAATTTAAGTCCTTTAGGCTCCAATTATGAAGAAAATAAAGCAAATAAAGCTAGGACACTACACAAGAATCCAACTAAGATTGTTTCTTCAACCCAAAACCCTGTCAGCTAGATCCTAAACACGTCCACACTCAGCCACATTTATTGCAATATAACATTGTTTGAAGCATGCATCTAAGGACCTCACTAAAGTAAATCCTATTATAAAGTCCAAACCTAGCATTCAATTTCATATGCTAAGCAAGCACAACATCAAACAACCAGACCTGGTTCTTGTATTGCTATGAGGCTTAGACAGGCAATCCAAGCTAAGGTCAGAGATGAAAAGGGGCAGCCCGCATTGTTTGTGCTCAAGTTCCCTAACAAACTGTTTTAAATATGTCATGTACAATAAGATCCATTTCAACTGTGCTATTGGCAGCTTAAGGCCAACTCCTGTTACTTTTGATAATCTCAACTAACAACCTAAAAACTCAAAAAGTGCATCAATAAAAGTCAATACTTCTAAGACAGTCCACATACTGCAAACACCTGAGCCAGAGAGACCTTTCCTACAACAGAGTGCAAACTAACTGAGAAAGAAAGACATAACGCAAACCACCTAAATTATGTGATTATGTCATGTGACACAGGTGTGTGCTAATTTCCATACTGGATGTGTACTAAGGATATCTTAGGCATATATAAGAGGGATGGTCACTTCAACTAACAAACTAGTCTTCTGAGTTTAAACCAAGTCCTCTGGCAACTGGTATCAAAGTCACCCAGGGAGTAATATCACATGGACTTAAGGGTACTACGACAGAGGACCGTATGAGTGTGGATCCCTTGACAAGGACATCAGGGATTGGCCTAGAGAACTGTCATGTGGCGCAAGTGTGCTGAGACACACAACAGATGTGTACTAGGAACATCTTGGACACATATAGAAGGATGGTTAGCTCACCTGTAAGGATAGTCTCTTGGGTTGAGGCCCAAGGTCTATGATAGTTTTACTAGGAATCCCAAACAAATTCAAATGATGTGCATCCACCACTTGGGTCACATTGAATGAGGAAAGAAGTGCCAAGCTTACAAGGAACCCAAAATCTAAAAACAAAAGGCATCTTTATTCAATCACTAAAATTCATTAAATGATGGTGCCAAGAATGCCACATAGAGTTGGACCCAATAGCTTAGCCACATCAGCTTACAGATATGTGGCCCATACAAAGTGCCTAAACTCTGGGTTAGAGCAAGCTCTGATTCTCAAGCCATTTATTTACCAAACACAGAAACCGCTTGGAATAGGAAATAAGGTTTTATTGATGGTATTGTTTGGTTATTAACAATAACTAAGACTATGAAGACATGCCACAGAATCTACAATAAGTTAAGTGCAACAAGTATATTTAACAAATAATAATACCATAAAACTCACTTACATCTTGTTGACAATCCTTTGTCGTGAATCAGACTGCAACTGGGTTCTCCAATCACCTGTGTCCATTGTGGGCTCTCCACCGGGAGGAGTAGGCCTCCAGTTATTGCTATCCATCAATTCCTAACAACACCAAATGAGAAGAGTACAGTCACAAACACTTGCAAATAAAATCTTTTTTTCATAAACAAAAAAAAGTGAAAAAGAAAAACTAGTAAATTTGGAAACAGAAGTTGCTCCTCAATATGCAAAATATTCGACAAATTTCTTTGCAACCAACCTTTCTTTGCAAGGCGGTTTAAGATTCTGTCTTTTCTTTCTCTCTGAGCTAGGCCATTGGTTATAAGCCAAAGGAGAACTGTAACTTACTAAAAAGCTACTTCTTGCACCACTTGACCAGCTAATCACTGACAAGCAATGATAATATTCAACGAATTGCTAATGAGGATTAATTGTTAGTCTGCTTCTGAGAATGCCACCTAGACTCATGATTATGAAAAAGTTGAGCCCTCTAACTGGAACCAAAACTCTTCTAGCTAAATATATTTGGATGACCTAAATCCTTGATTTTTCACCAATAAAATTAAACCCCTTAATTTGAATTTCATCATAAATTATTAAATGAAGACAAGATTAAGATATTTACAAATATGAACAAAATCGATGATATAAACCATACTTAATAGAAATAATTTACTTTGAAGGGTTGTTTCATTATTGGGTATCCAAATATAAAATCAGGCTTTCTAATTGTTTTTCAGAGCAAAAAGAAGAAAAAAAAAGAAACCATAAAGTCAATTACGTGGTGATATTCTCAAAAAGAAAATCAAATTTTTATTATTACAAGTCAAAAAACATATTCCCAGGTAAAATTGTCAAGGAAATTAAGAGACCAATATCGTAAAACCTAAAAAAAGAAAGAATTGAAATTTTACCTCAACGAAGAGCTCCCAATTCCAAAAGAGAGATCCGCTTCGAAAATTCCTCAAGGATTTTTTCAAATTCCAAATCCCTCGATTGAATTAAAGCTACGCCTCAGGTTCTCTTGCCCTCTATTACAAAATAAATAAATAAAGAATTTAAAAACTTTCTTTTTTACGATTTTAAGGCTTTTCAAAATATTTATACATAAAAAAAGATTTAAAATTTTTGCTTTGTTTTCTTGAAGGACGATCGGTGGCTTCTCGTTCTTGTTCTTGTTTTCTTTTTGTTTTCATTGGATACCTAATACTCTCGCATAAATAAATCTAGTTAGAACAAAGAAAATAAGGAAAATCACCTGAGCTTCGCTGGGTTGAAAAGAAACCGAGAGAAAACGAAGGGAAATCGAAGAGAGAACAGAGAAAAGCAGAATAGACGAGAAGAAGCCAAAGGTCAGGGGTTGGACCAAAGTGAATGGGAAAGACTTTTCTTTTATAGATGGAACCGTTTATGCCTCTGCTTTTATATACATTTATATATATACATATATATATATATATATATATATTAATGCTTTCAAATGTTTTTAAATTATCTAAAAATATTTAAATAATTTATTTTTTTTATTTTAGATTAAAGTATATCTTTATTATTAAAATTAATAAATTATGTTAATTAAAATATTATTTATTATTATTTTTATTCACATGGTGTTAATATGGATATGAAATATGTCATATGATTATATTATCATGTCACGTTACTATGTGAAATATCTATCTATTATTTTTATTAACATATCATGTAATATCACATAACAATTTATTAATTATTAATTATAAAAATTTATTTAATTTAAAATAAAAATATAAAAAATATAAAAATATAATAAAATAATAAAATTTGTTTAAATTTTTAAAATAATTCTTGAATTTCTTAGGCATTTTGCTTTTTATATTTTATTTTGATTTTGTTTCTTAAAATAAAACCTACCTCATTCATCAAAAAATAAAGACCATTTCAAAAAAAAAAAAAAACTTGTTCTCAACAATTTTGACTGTTGTTTTTATTCTTTGATTACACTTTTGAATTTTGATTTTCCACATTTGAGACTGTACTTTCTTGTTTGCTTCCATTATTTTTCTGATCATGTATTTCCAATGCTTTGCATGGTTGATTTTATGCTTCCAGTGTTTAATTAATCATTCCTTAATGTATAATATATGTTACATGTGATAATTGTTACTATTAATTAGATCAAAATATATGCTTTTAATATAATGATAAATGAATGATTTAAGTGTTTAAAAAGCAAAAGGTGAAAAAGGTTCATGTTGGTTGAATAAAGTAAAGTCATTTAATTATGGGCTTCTATTTTACAAATAATAAAAGCTAACTAACTAAACAATACATTTATCATTCATAATAAACAAGAATACATTTATATTATGATTGATTAATCCTATTTTTTTTATAAGTAGTTGCATATTATAATCAAAATATAAAATTATAGTACTTCTAATATTTAGTTTAATGATATATATATATAACATATTCATAATGAAATATTTTTAATAATATAAAACATGTGATTAAGATGGCAAAGTTGATGGTGTGAAAAATTAAAAGTACCCAAAATTATTTAATTTTCTTCCAAAATTAATTAAACATAAAAAAAAACAATCAATAATCAACAAATTAACATGTTACCAAAAGAAAATTCAATATAAAATTAGTATAAATGAATGAACTCAAAATATACATAATATAATGATTTTAAATCTTTATTGAAATATTGGAATCAAAGGCACAAGCTAAGGAGGTTTCCCTTCACATTGGGCAAAAGCCAAAGTCGGTGGGAATTGAGATGAAGGCGATTGGGCAGTGCCCTGGGGTTTATCACTTCTTTAGTCAAAGTTTGGGAACTTATTAGTGCGAATCTTGCATGTTGAAGTTGGCGCACTTGCTCTTGTTTTTTGTTTTCTTCTAATTACTTTGGACTTTCAATTGGATGATTGACTGCCTTTTCCTTTATTTCTTTCCTTTATCACTTTTTACATTTTGGAATTGAAAATGATTCCTCCACGTAGGTCATGACTAGGTTGCATGTATACTTGGGTAGAACAATATACCCATGTGTAATGTAATTCTTCTAGATAGTGAATATTACTATAACTTGTTTTAAAAATGACATAAGCATAAAGAGTTGAACCTTATTCTTCTTTTGGATGAGTATAAAGATCCTTGGTTAAAATCAATTGAGCATTTGATTTAGCAATGGATACCCGTATCTCATATTTAAAAAATTGAGTTTAAAACTATTTTTTTTTTTAAAAAAAAATCTTCTCAATAATAATAAAGTCTTAATTCAAAATTCTATTTACATAACCTTGATCATTGGACATAAATCTCGACCGATAGCAATGAAATGATTTTTGTCGACTCAGTATATATCTTGTACATATCATCTTTGAGATTCAATTGATTTAGATAAAGAGTTTAGAATTTTAATTTATCTTGATTTATTTTTTGAATAAAGGTATTTCGTTCCATTTCATAATACTTGGCCATTACAATATGTATTACAACAAATAGAACAATTCAAGCCCCCATATTTTAATTTGTTTTATTGCATGGAAAAGAGCCTTATTAAAAAACTTCTTATGAACTCATTGGGATAAAAACCATGAAAAGGAAAAAAGAGTATTCAACTACCATGCCCTTATATTCCTACCTCCATAACTAAGTAAGATAGTCCTTCTGTAGAGCTTGTTAAGCTCCTACTAGTAACGAAGGACTATGTCTCCAGATGGTTTGATCCATTTCAGCAGCCATTGATGACTTAGTAATCTCATGAGATACCACGTTGGCCTCTTTTTTACAATGCAAAATCTCAAATGAGTTAAGTTGGTGTAAAAGCATGCAACAAGCTTCAACAACATGCCCCACTTCACCAATAAATTTTCTATCCTTAATCTAGGCAACCACTTGTAAACAATCCATCTCCATTTCATGAATTACAAGTTCTTGAGAGCAAACCATTAAAGCCTAAAGCAAGGATCTTAGTTCAGTAATAGCCATGTTTCTGATAGACCTAAATCTCTTTCTTTCAACAATTAGCAACTCACCGGCAGGCCCTCTAATTATGAAACCCACCCTAGCACAACTTGTTCCATTAAAATAAAAAAGAGCAGCATCACAATTTAGTTTAGTAATAGATGGACACTTCCACCGATTACAACTCAATTCAACATTTAGTTGAGGCGATCTTTCTATCACAACTACAACCTTGTATTGAGTGTATATATTTATCCCCATCTGAACCACTTGACGCAGATTCAATCTCTCATTCTTGAACACAGTTGAGTTACGACCCTTTCATAAAGGCCACATAACATAACAAATGATAATTTTATGATATAGAGTTTTTTAAGCTTAATTTTAATAATAATTTAGCTTAGTTCTTGTACTAATATATAAAAATTAGTAAATTTTATTTAATTATTTTAAATTAGTTAATTTAGATGAGTCAATTTAATCTTAGTTAATTTTATACTTAATTTGGTGTTAATGTGATTAAGATAAGTTGTTATTGATATATTTGTGCTTTTGTAGGTGTTTGATGAAAGAAGGATTTTAATGAAAAAAGGAGAGCAATTTCAAGGTGTAGATTTATATTATACATATTTTGGCATTTCGGCCATAACTTGTCTTACAGAGCTCCAAATGAAGCCATTCTTATACCATTGGAAAGATAAGAGAAAAAGCTACAATTTTCATGTTTACAACTTCACTTAGTTCAGTACAAAATGTGGTCAAAAATCTTGTTAAAGTTGATATATTGTAGCAGTGCTATAGTAATTACAAGTTTTGTTAATTAATTGGGTAAGGCTGTGGCCCATATAGTCTGATGAAGAAGTTTTGATTGGAATTGACATCTTTCTTCACCCAACTTAGCTAAACTTTAAAGCTTTATAAAAACAACCTTTTAGAGGATTTTTAAAAAGAGAACGAAACATTAAATTAACAGTCAACTCACAAAATTAGTAAAGTTAAGAAGAATTTGAAGGATTTAAGGAGATTTAGAGAGATCAAGAATACAATCCATGATTTTTTCTATCTTTATGTTATTCTCCTATTCTATTGGTTTTGTTTTTAATGTTAAAATTTTATTTGATGATAATATGCGACTTGATGGGAAACTAATTTATTAATCTAATATTATGATTGAACTCAATATGTAGTCTGAATCATTTATCTCTCTTTTATAATAAACTAGACAAAGACTTGTAACTAAGTTAGAGCTTTAGGTTAGCAATTTAATCCATTAAACTGAGTTAAGAGAGAGACAATATTCAAATGAAGTATTAAGGGTTATCATAATCTTAAGTCTGGTAATCACTAGAAGTAATTTTACTGATACATTAGTTTTAGTTATTAGTTTCAATTTTTTTTAATTTTAATTGTTTAGGTAAAATTAAAGTGGGTTAATTTTAGTAGTTAACAGTTAGAATTAATTCAATTTTCTGTGGGATCAACATTCTACTCATTATTATATTATCCTTGCGATACGTACACTTAAATGAATAAAAAATTGAGCAACAGCAAACCTTCGCCATATTATTTTTATCTAAATATTGTAAGATCATATTGACCCACTTTTTTATGGAGGAAAAATGATATGAGATGTCTCAGAAACCTCATTTGGTAACCAACCAAGCAGCCTTGGCAAAAGAACAAGCACACAGGATATGAAAATCTATTTCTAGGTCTACATCACATAGTGGACAACCAGTATCAACTGTAATTTTCCTTCTTGTCAGCACATCTCGTGTTGGGAGACATCCATGAAGAGTGTGCCAAACAAATAAAAGGATTTTCCTAGGAATGTTTAGGCTTAAAATCTTTTTCCATGCAGTTGTCATACTCTCAGATGAACTCGCTGTATTTCCAGCTACCATTGAATCTTGGCTTAACACTTTATATCCCAATTTAACTATATACTCACTAATCGTACTATACTACCAAACTAGACAATCTTTTGGCCTTCGTAAACTCAAAGGTAATGACAGGATTAGGTTGCATTCATAAGGTGGAAAATAGGCTCTTATCTTTCCTTCAGCCCAAACCATCTGCTTATGCACTATAAACTCATTAACCTTTGTCGAATTTGACACAATGTTTGCAAAAGATACAACTGGTTGTGGTGTGTCATATGGTATCCAATTACTCCTTCTAGCAAGAATATTCTGTCCAGTACTAACCCTCCAATAGGAGCCACTTTTAATAAGACTTCGACTTTCTTTGATGCTCCTCCATAAATAGCTTGGATTGATCCCACTAGAGCTTCTAAAAAATTTACATTAGGGAAATACCTGGCTTTTAACACCTTATAGGAAATCGTAGGATTCTCCATTTGCAACCTCCAACCTTGCGTTGACAACATAGCCAAATTAAAATTGCTAGTGTCTCAAACGCCCATACCTCTAGAATGTGTTGAAGGACA